TTTCTGTGAAATCTGTCAGAAAAAAAAGAATGTTCCTAAGAAAGGCTTGGTAATTAAACCAATTAAACCAATTTTTATTTTATTCCATATACATATACAGGTATATGGAATAAAATAAAAATTGTTTTCTGTTTCTGTGAAATCTGTCAGAAAAAAAAGAATGTTCCTAAGAAAGGCTTGGTAATTAAACCAATTAAACCAATTTTTATTTTATTCCATATACATATACAGGTATATGGAATAAAATAAAAATTGTTTTCTGTTTCTGTGAAATCTGTCAGAAAAAAAAGAATGTTCCTAAGAAAGGCTTGGTAATTAAACCAATTAAACCAATTTTTATTTTATTCCATATACATATACAGGTATATGGAATAAAATAAAAATTGTTTTCTGTTTCTGTGAAATCTGTCAGAAAAAAAAGAATGTTCCTAAGAAAGGCTTGGTAATTAAACCAATTAAACCAATTTTTATTTTATTCCATATACATATACAGGTATATGGAATAAAATAAAAATTGTTTTCTGTTTCTGTGAAATCTGTCAGAAAAAAAAGAATGTTCCTAAGAAAGGCTTGGTAATTAAACCAATTAAACCAATTTTTATTTTATTCCATATACATATACAGGTATATGGAATAAAATAAAAATTGTTTTCTGTTTCTGTGAAATCTGTCAGAAAAAAAAGAATGTTCCTAAGAAAGGCTTGGTAATTAAACCAATTAAACCAATTTTTATTTTATTCCATATACATATACAGGTATATGGAATAAAATAAAAATTGTTTTCTGTTTCTGTGAAATCTGTCAGAAAAAAAAGAATGTTCCTAAGAAAGGCTTGGTAATTAAACCAATTAAACCAATTTTTATTTTATTCCATATACATATACAGGTATATGGAATAAAATAAAAATTGTTTTCTGTTTCTGTGAAATCTGTCAGAAAAAAAAGAATGTTCCTAAGAAAGGCTTGGTAATTAAACCAATTAAACCAATTTTTATTTTATTCCATATACATATACAGGTATATGGAATAAAATAAAAATTGTTTTCTGTTTCTGTGAAATCTGTCAGAAAAAAAAGAATGTTCCTAAGAAAGGCTTGGTAATTAAACCAATTAAACCAATTTTTATTTTATTCCATATACATATACAGGTATATGGAATAAAATAAAAATTGTTTTCTGTTTCTGTGAAATCTGTCAGAAAAAAAAGAATGTTCCTAAGAAAGGCTTGGTAATTAAACCAATTAAACCAATTTTTATTTTATTCCATATACATATACAGGTATATGGAATAAAATAAAAATTGTTTTCTGTTTCTGTGAAATCTGTCAGAAAAAAAAGAATGTTCCTAAGAAAGGCTTGGTAATTAAACCAATTAAACCAATTTTTATTTTATTCCATATACATATACAGGTATATGGAATAAAATAAAAATTGTTTTCTGTTTCTGTGAAATCTGTCAGAAAAAAAAGAATGTTCCTAAGAAAGGCTTGGTAATTAAACCAATTAAACCAATTTTTATTTTATTCCATATACATATACAGGTATATGGAATAAAATAAAAATTGTTTTCTGTTTCTGTGAAATCTGTCAGAAAAAAAAGAATGTTCCTAAGAAAGGCTTGGTAATTAAACCAATTAAACCAATTTTTATTTTATTCCATATACATATACAGGTATATGGAATAAAATAAAAATTGTTTTCTGTTTCTGTGAAATCTGTCAGAAAAAAAAGAATGTTCCTAAGAAAGGCTTGGTAATTAAACCAATTAAACCAATTTTTATTTTATTCCATATACATATACAGGTATATGGAATAAAATAAAAATTGTTTTCTGTTTCTGTGAAATCTGTCAGAAAAAAAAGAATGTTCCTAAGAAAGGCTTGGTAATTAAACCAATTAAACCAATTTTTATTTTATTCCATATACATATACAGGTATATGGAATAAAATAAAAATTGTTTTCTGTTTCTGTGAAATCTGTCAGAAAAAAAAGAATGTTCCTAAGAAAGGCTTGGTAATTAAACCAATTAAACCAATTTTTATTTTATTCCATATACATATACAGGTATATGGAATAAAATAAAAATTGTTTTCTGTTTCTGTGAAATCTGTCAGAAAAAAAAGAATGTTCCTAAGAAAGGCTTGGTAATTAAACCAATTAAACCAATTTTTATTTTATTCCATATACATATACAGGTATATGGAATAAAATAAAAATTGTTTTCTGTTTCTGTGAAATCTGTCAGAAAAAAAAGAATGTTCCTAAGAAAGGCTTGGTAATTAAACCAATTAAACCAATTTTTTTTTATTCCATATACATATACAGGTATATAGAATAAAATAAAAATTGTTTTCTGTTAAACTTTGTAGCATTATCTGTAAAGCCAGTATAATAAGTCCTGATAATAGAAGATACAAATTTATACTCGAAAATTTACATTTTATTATGAAAGATTATTTGATAATGCCACCCTTACATAGCAATATAACTGATGAAGTTCAAAGATCTACATTGTCTTCACGTGAAAAAAATCTAAACCAGGATGTTATTAGTATTACAGAATTGGTGAATGAAGAAGAAGAAACAATCATCCAAACAATTGATCCAAAAATAGAAGAAAAAATAAGAAGTGTGTCTAAAACAAGGGAGATGGCTTTGTTTAATCTTAAAAAGCAAGCAGAAAAAATGATTAATACATCAAATTCCAAATACACAGCAGCTAATGTTGGTGATACAGTAAGGATTCATGTACCTGATGTAGATTGAGCTCGCAGTAATGGAAAAAATATTTTAGGTGTAGTTGTTGCAGTTAAAGATAAACACCTTTACAAACTGGGTACCAAACATGGCATATTAAAGCTATTATATTCCAGAAACCAATTTACTGTTTGTAAAGAAAACTTCAATTCTGTTGGAGATGTACCAGGTGCAGAAATTTTGCTTAAAGAATATGCAAGAATCTCATCAATTTCTGGAGGCCAAAACTACAAGGTCTGTTCAAAAAGTATCAGACCTTTTTTTTTTCCACGTAAACCAATGATGCGAGAGAGACCTCCTTTGGTGGAGTTGTGGAGGGGACAGTCATGCACAGCCCTGAATTTTTTCCCGCCTGCAGGAAGCGTCAGTCATTGGCAATCGGCCTATGAGTGACTCCTTTGGTGGAGTTGTGGAGGGGACAGTCATGCACAGCCCTGAATTTTTTCCCGCCTGCAGGAAGCGTCAGTCGTTGGCAATCGGCATATGAGTGAGGTCATGTAGTGCGCTCTCGTCGGATTTCACTAAGCTGGAAAATGACTGAACAACGTGAGCAGCGATATTACATCAAATTTTGCCAAAAACCTTGGCGATACCCAAATGTAAACCATTCGCAAGATTCAGCAGGCTTTCGGGGACGATCCTCGAGACCAAAAAAAGTGCAGCAGGTCCGCAGCAATATCAAAGGTCATGTTGACAGTTTTTTCAACTCTCATGGGGTGGTGTGTTGTGAGTACTCACCACAAGGCCAAACCATCCCAAAGGAGTACTACCAGGAGGTCCTTCGTCGTCTTTCCGATACAGTGCGACACAAACGACCAGATCTGTGGTCGATCAAAACTTGGCAGCTCCATCGTGATAACGCATCCGCCCATTCTGCGCATCTGATTCGGGCTTTCGTTGCCAAACACAATACTCCTGTGGCTCGTCAAGCTCCGTACTCTCTCCACATGGCTCCGTGTGACCTTTGACTATTTCTCAAGCTGAAAATGCCGCTAAAAGAAACCCAAATTTAGTCGAGAGAAGACATCATGCGAAATGCGACGGACCAGCTGATAACCATTCCAAAAGATGTGTTCCAGCAGTGTTTCCAGCAATGGCAGGAATGCTGGGAGAAGTGTATACATTACCAAGGAGACTACTTTGAAGGGGATTAGGGTTTTGTACCTCAAAGTCAATAAATTTATTTTTGCCGACCAAAGGTCCGATACTTTTTGAACAGACCTTGTATAGTCGATGCTGCTGCAAAATTGGTTGCAAATCTAATAGATGCAAATGCTACAAAGAAAAAAAATTATGTAATTCCAAATGTCATGAAAATCTTAATTGCTCAAATAAATAACTAAAAAACATTTAATTTTTTATATAATTTATACCAAAAATTGTTAATAATACTTAATGACCCGTCAATTTGATAAATGANCTTGGATGTTCTTTATTTCTCAGATGTGATTTTTGTTACTCTTTTAGCTGCTTGAGTCTTCTTGATTATACAGTATTTTTCTTAAATAAGATTGAACTGCAGCCTACTGTAGACCTGTTCACGCCATACTGCCCAGCAACATTATGCATCTTCTGCCCACACTCTACCTTGCTATTAAACTCTCACCTTTCGAAAATAAAAACAGATGCAAAACTTAACGAGTGCATACCCAACAGTCTCGTGAATACATAAAAGAATTGTTTTGTCAGAAAAATTAAATGGCTGGAGGGAAAGTTTCAAAGTTAGGAGGAATACTATCCGATCAGTATATATCGAGTTGAGCGTCAACGTCGACATCTCCGATACTCCAAAAAGTTTCGAATTGTTGCCCGAAGACGAAGAAAGACCAATTGCTATTCATTATTTTACATCACTTCTTGTTGTGTTTGTTCTGTGGGGTGTTCGTTGTCCGATCATAAAAATCTTTCGAGAAAGTGTTCGTTATCCGATTTGTTCGTTAACCAATCACCCACTGTATAGCTCTAAACCTAAAAGAATATTTTTACAGTTAAGCTAAGTTTTTCTTAAAAAAAAATATGAACTTTACAAAAAAGATACATGAAGATGCAACAATTTATAGAAAAATTATGTTATAAGTACAATATATAAGTTTTACACATATCATGAAAAACATCAGATCAGAATCTGAATCTATCTTTTTGTTTTTTCATTTTAATTTAATCTAAAATGAATTTTTTAGTGTAATTCACTAAGTCCATTTTCTTCCAAATGTTCACTTAATATTTTAAAATATTATACTGTATAAAGATCTGTATTGCAATACATCTTTATATTCAAAAATCAGCCAGCTGACTGAAGAGTATCAACCTATTCTCTGAGCTATAAAAAATTGCAATTCATCTAACTCAGATCCTCACCAAATTTTATAAATAATATGAAACATTGTTTATGATCCATACTGACCAACACTATTGTGAACAGAGTTGTCTGCAATAGATATACATAATCAAAACCAACTACAGTCCTTAGTATAAAAATTTGTTTGTATTAATAAATCAAATCAAGCTAGTCAAAATAAAAAATAAAATAAAATAACTACAGATTCATTTCTTGAAACCATTCTAAAACTTTTAAGTTAGATTATTAATATAATAACAAAAGCCTGTTTGTTTGTGGTTTCATTTGTCATCTTCCTTTCTGAAGAGATGGCAATATTTCATAATATACTACAATATTTATTATTTATAATTATTTTTTATTGTTATGTTGTTATTATTAATATTAACTGTAATATTCTTACATTATTTATGTTATTAATTTATTATTGTAATATCCAAAGTCAGATTGTTGACCAGATGGGCACTATCATTTAGCATTTCTGTTTTTTATTTAAAATTTGCCATATCTCATTCAAGAAATCAAATGAATATTAAGGTGTTATCACTCAGAAAAGACAGTAAAAAAATCTTTTTCAAAGCTATAGAATTTTTGGTATAATTCCATATCTGGAACTCAAATGGTGGAAGCATCTATACTGTCATGATCTACACCATGTTGTCCCAGTTGTTCTGAAAAGTGAGCAGCATTGGATGGGAAACTATGGGAAGGGGTAGGATAAATACATTTGATTCTTTTCCCGTGTTACGTTAACATATTAACAAAAGAGCTCCAACTGACCTGACTGGGACAAAAGGTCAGACCATTAACTATAAATTTCTTCATCCTGCATGGACAGAAAATATCTAGTTATTTAATATTTATTTCTTATTTAATCTTTCCTGTAAAATCAATATCTATATCTATATAAAGATTATTTACTTATGTAATTTTATTGAGATATTCTTGAATTCAAAAGTTCATCTGCAATCAAATTATTCTAGAGAAAATTTATATCAAGTTGATGATATAAATTAATAATTCAAGTTAATAAATATTTTAATAGACAGAAAATAAACATTTTCAAAACTTAACTTTGAAATTAAATGATCTTAAATAAATAAATAAAATTTTTATCATATTCTTATAGTATACGATAAAACATTTTGACAGATTCATATAATTTACATTGAAACTGTTATTATTTCATAAATTTAACATTTAATAACTTCATGATAACTGAGCCATTGTTACACCTCGTTTGGACATTATTGCAAGAAGCGATAATGGTGAAGCGATAATTGACTTGCCAGGTGTGCGTCTGATGAGTGTCAACCAAACCATCTTCTTAGAGCACCCTGATTGGAGAAAGGTTGTGTAAGATGTGCAGGAAGAAGAAAAAAAAGAGGAAAAAACTAGATAAACTGAGGGGGACAACATCTTTTTCCTTTTTGGTTCTCTTTGATGCACTTTGTTTTATCCGGGGTAACCATTGGATTAAGAAGGTTCTTCTTTCTGTGGTGGTGTAAAAAAGGATAAAGATAGACTCAAAAGTTATTTTGACTTTTTGTAAATAGTCTAAACTTCGAATTAAGAAGAGAAAAGATTTGATGATCTGAAATAAGAGGAAAGTGATAAGAACTTGGAGAAGAATATGAAAAGCATGTTAAGTGAGAAATGAGATCTTTAAATTTAATTTGCAGATATCAAGAAGATTTAATAATTTCTTTAATCATTTTCAAAAACTAAAAGTTTTTCATCTTTATAAAATTTATATATAAAAAAAACTGAAATTTTCAAAACTAGTTTTAAATAGTTTTATAGTGTCTAAAAACAAAATCATTGTATTCCAAAATCTTTAAGAAATTAAAAGCTGACTTCTTTGTATAATTTACTTGATGTTTAGTTGAAATTATTTAAATAAAATGTTATTGAAATTATTCCATTAAATTATTACAAAGTTTTCCATTATTAAAAATTTTACAGAATATGATTTATTCTATAAAATCAAAACATGAAATCTATTTGTGAAACTAAAAATAAATGTCAATCAAATTCAGTATATGTACTTCTGAGAATAAAGTTTTAATTTTCAGATAAAAATTTTTACTTCAAAATTCAGTTCTTAAGGAAAAATTTAATACTGCTATCCCTTAATGTGTGTATAAAATATATTTTCTAAAAAATTTTGGATATAAAAAGTATCACAAAATGTTCTTCACTATTCTTTGACAGGTAAAATTATAGCTGTGGTGCTCACTTTATGTGATTGTAAGTAAGATAGTCAAACTCTTCTAATTATCAATTTCCACATCCCAATAACAAATTAAATTACTGCATTTTGTTTCTTAACTTCCAAAATTTGTTAAAAATTATACCTAATATACACATTAAAAGGACAGTAGCATTAAACTTTGCCATAGAAGCTGAAATTTGAAGCGAAATTTTTTCCTGAAAATTGGAATCATATACTAGAGAGTATATATGTTATGGACAAAGTGATTAATACGGGCATTATGAATAATGACCAACAAAATTGGGCATTGTAATAAATTTCAATAATTTATCAAATTGACCGGTCATTATGAATACTGCTACCACCTAGTCGGGCAAAGTGATAATAATACGTTGAGGAGTGATCATCCGACATACATTAGCCAATCAGAACTTACATCTTACTTACGCATGCGTATTGTATTAAGTACCGAATTTTAAATTTATGTGACCAGTAGTTAATCTTTCTTCTTTGACAAAAGTAACGATCATGGAGGAATCATTAAGTGATATGAATAATTGCTTCAACAACCAATTAAATGAGTTAATAACAGAAAAAGGTGAGAACAATAAAATTTTTACAAAATCAGCATATTTGTCAATGATACAAAAAGTGAAAACGTCAAAAATGAAAGTTACTTCTAAGTTACCGGAAGAATATCAACATTCACATAGATATGACATTGTATCTACCAGAAATTTAGAAAAATTAATTATGCCTGTAAAAGAAGGTAATACAATTAAATATTATGTTCACATGGAAGAAATATTTTAGATATTGCACAATGCCCATATTGCTATTGGACATGGCGGTAGAGACTGTATGGAAAAAAAATTAAGCACGAAATATAAAAATATTACAAGGGCAATGATCATAATTTATTTGAACTTCTGTGAAATCTGTCAGAAAAAAAAAATGTTCCTAAGAAAGGCTTGTTAATTAAACCAAGTTTATGTAATAAAATTAACTCGAGATGTCAGGTCAATCTTATAGATATGCAGTCGCAAGCTGATGAGGAATATAAATTTATACTCGTGTATCAAGACCATCTAACAAAATTCATTCAACTACAACCATTAAAAACCAAAAGGGCTGAAGAAGTAGCATATGTTCTTTTAGACATTTTTACAATTTTCGGGGCATCGAGTATTCTACAAAGCGATAACAACAGAGAATTCGCCAATAATATCATCAAAGAAATGTGTAATATGTGGTCTGATTTAAAAATGGTGCATGTAAAGCCCAGGCACTCACAAAGTCAGAGTTCAGTAGAAAGATGTAATCAAGACATAGAAAATATGCTTAGTTCTTGGTTGGAGACTAACAATACTAACAAATGGTCAGAAGGATTACTTTGTGGTATTCGTGTGATTGAAGCAGTACGATCCACGAATGAAACGTACAGAAAGGAACCTACGACAGTTACAATTATAAACACTCTCCTTTATTCAATACGAACAGGTTCGGTTTCATCAGGAATCCCAACTGTTTTGTGATTTAATTTTACAATGTGAGGTGTATCAACAGGAATCTTTCCAGTTTTACAATAAATCACGGTACGAAATCTTACCGGCGTGTAACAATTAATATTCTATAGTCACGTAACTAAAATCTAACTCAATTCTAACTTAAGGCTAACTTAATACTAAGGAAATGACAAGGAAGATAGGACAGCGGGAAGGTAGAAGAAAAGAAGAGATAACTTCACCCGGGCCTTTCTTATGTTCTGGTGTCTTTGAGCTTTGGGTAGGACTGTCTCAACGACGGTGGCTCTTGCTTCCACTATGTTCTTAAACACGTCAGTCGTCGGATCTCTAATCCTGAAGATTCTGATCTATCTGGAGGTGTCCGCAAGCCTTATGACCTGGTCGTGGATCCTCCTCAGTCTGTCACTCGATTCTCCCACGAACTTCCTTTGTTCTTCGCTACGAAGTCACGTTCAGGTGTCCCTTCGACACGTCTCGCTCTCCTCGTGTCTCGTCGACGACTGCCTTTTTCCCTTCTACCATTTATTGTTCTCCTTTTGATCTCAGCCTGACTAATCCTACCGACTATTGTTCTTTCCGGTTCTAAGAACGGCTAATCTCACCCAAAGGCTATAACAGTCATTTGGAAGGTTCTAGAAGGAACAGACAAAGGAAATAGAAGAAATAGGAAAAGAGAAAGATTGGAATTATACTATATACAATTAAGATACATATGTATATATGGCCGACGGCCACAACTTTTGTACAACTGACGAAAAATCAAGCATATCATACTGGTATAAACTGCAGCTCCTGTGAGGCCATGTTTGGAGTAAAGTTAAAAGTTGGACTAAAGAATTTTATACCCAACAAATCGTTGATCAACGTTAATATGGAAGAGGATCTAGAGAAACTTTTTAAAACTATCGACGAAGTAAGTCAAAGTTGCTCAAACTCTGAAAGTCTGGGTACCGTCCAAGAAAACATTATGAAAGATTAATTAAAATGCCTCAATGTCCTTTTTTCTTATTAAAATGTAAATTTTTGACTATAAATTCATATCTTCTATTATCAGGACTTATTATACTGGCTTTACAGATAATGCTACAAAGTTTAACAGAAAACAATTTTTATTTTATTCCATATACATATACAGGTATATGGAATAAAATAAAAATTGTTTTCTGTTTCTGTGAAATCTGTCAGAAAAAAAAGAATGTTCCTAAGAAAGGCTTGGTAATTAAACCAATTAAACCAATTTTTATTTTATTCCATATACATATACAGGTATATGGAATAAAATAAAAATTGTTTTCTGTTTCTGTGAAATCTGTCAGAAAAAAAAGAATGTTCCTAAGAAAGGCTTGGTAATTAAACCAATTAAACCAATTTTTATTTTATTCCATATACATATACAGGTATATGGAATAAAATAAAAATTGTTTTCTGTTTCTGTGAAATCTGTCAGAAAAAAAAGAATGTTCCTAAGAAAGGCTTGGTAATTAAACCAATTAAACCAATTTTTATTTTATTCCATATACATATACAGGTATATGGAATAAAATAAAAATTGTTTTCTGTTTCTGTGAAATCTGTCAGAAAAAAAAGAATGTTCCTAAGAAAGGCTTGGTAATTAAACCAATTAAACCAATTTTTATTTTATTCCATATACATATACAGGTATATGGAATAAAATAAAAATTGTTTTCTGTTTCTGTGAAATCTGTCAGAAAAAAAAGAATGTTCCTAAGAAAGGCTTGGTAATTAAACCAATTAAACCAATTTTTATTTTATTCCATATACATATACAGGTATATGGAATAAAATAAAAATTGTTTTCTGTTTCTGTGAAATCTGTCAGAAAAAAAAGAATGTTCCTAAGAAAGGCTTGGTAATTAAACCAATTAAACCAATTTTTATTTTATTCCATATACATATACAGGTATATGGAATAAAATAAAAATTGTTTTCTGTTTCTGTGAAATCTGTCAGAAAAAAAAGAATGTTCCTAAGAAAGGCTTGGTAATTAAACCAATTAAACCAATTTTTTTTTATTCCATATACATATACAGGTATATAGAATAAAATAAAAATTGTTTTCTGTTAAACTTTGTAGCATTATCTGTAAAGCCAGTATAATAAGTCCTGATAATAGAAGATACAAATTTATACTCGAAAATTTACATTTTATTATGAAAGATTATTTGATAATGCCACCCTTACATAGCAATATAACTGATGAAGTTCAAAGATCTACATTGTCTTCACGTGAAAAAAATCTAAACCAGGATGTTATTAGTATTACAGAATTGATGAATGAAGAAGAAACAATCCAAACAATTGATCCAAAAATAGAAGAAAAAATTAGTGTGTCTAAAACAAGGGCTTTGTTTAATCTTAAAAAGCAAGCAGAAAAAATGATTAATACATCAAATTCCAAATACACAGCAGCTATTGTTGGTGATACAGTAAGGATTCGTGTACCTGATGAAGAT